GAGAAGATGAAGGAGGAGAAGGCTGCTGAGAAGGGTGGAAAGAAGAGCAAGGCTGCAAAGACCAAGACCACACTCAACGCGAGCAGAGACGTCGGCGTAAGGGCAGATACTAGGGCATACGATGACGACGACTTTGGCGAGTAAGTCATGTTTGAGCCTGTCTGGCTTTCACAGATGCTAACAGATTACAGTGACGACTTCATGTGAGGCACGACGAGGCTTCCTATGCATATGCCTTTTATATTGGAGTTCATTCCTCATCATTCAGTTTGGAGTCGCGGTTGGTCATTTCATGAAGGATCAAAAGGGAAACATACGTGCATGGCGTTTTGCGCTTGACGTCTCTGTTTCGCGGTTGTGCTTCGAGATCAAGCGGCATAGGTTTAGTGCATATGTAGTGCATTATAGATAGGCACGCGTAGAGAGTAGATGTCTGATTCTTACAATCTGGTACTTCCTCCCACCCAATGTTGAAACATTCCAGATCAACGGCACAACGATAGTGTGATGAAGCGTGTATCAACTCTTCTCCACCAGCGGTGATCGCAGAAACTGGATGTACTATTGTCAGCCCGCAGTCCAGACACGATAGTGTGCCATCTTGAGATTGAGTTGGTGCCGGCCAATGCCGCTTCGTCAAACTCCGACGCATCGCAACGCGGGGCAACATGTGTTGATGGAACGTCATCCCGCCAAAAAAATTGAACGCGCCAGTCAGTCACGGCTACCAAATTTCCTGCACCAATGGGGATGATGTGAGCCAGAGAATTCCTAGGCCCGATAGCATCGATATGCGCGCTCATTTTCTATGCTTTTGAGGGTTCACAGCCATTGGCGCATTACACGTGTAGCTCTTACCCCTCATTGAGTCACTCGTTCGAGACGCGCCTCAATCTTGTACACTACAAAACGACACACACATCCACCCACTCGAGCCCACATATCTGGTCTGACGCCGCCCGCGCATTTAGCCCTCTCCACGGCACCAAGCCCGCATCCAATTGCAAGTGCCGACGTGGGACTCGTGGCCTAGCCCGTAGCAGAATTCCCCATTCAAGTCTTTGTTAGAGGGTGCACAGCGCGCGTCTGCATACTACAAACCCTAGCAATTGCGTGCTTGATTCATAGCCATGGATCTCGTCAACTCGTATGTTTCGATTGTTTCTTTTCCCCATTCTGTTTCCTTCTTCTGATAAGCTTCTTGTATGACCATGGGGTACACCAACGGAAATGAAGGCGCAAGTGAAATCGAGCGCATCGCGCAAAGAGCGCGTCAGGGCAGCAGGAGTCTTCCTTTCATGACTGACCTTTTGGGAAACAGCTTGAACGACCGTCTCCTCTTTGCGGTACCCAAGAGTACGTTGCCTACATCACTACTGGCTGGACTCATAGGCTAACAACCATCGCAGAGGGCCGCCTCCACCAAGCATGTCTTGATCTCCTCCACGGCTCGGACATTCAGTTCCACCGACACTCCCGTCTCGATATCGCACTCGTCAAGAACCACCCTCTCGCTCTCGTCTTCCTACCCGCCGCTGATATCCCGACTTTCGTAGGAGAAGGTCGCGTAGACTTGGGCATAACAGGGCGCGATCAAGTCGCAGAACACGAGTGCGTTGCACCACCTACTGCCACCAGCGGCGTAGAGGAGGTCCTCGATCTCGGTTTTGGAAAATGCAGTCTGCAGGTACAAGTCCCCGCAAAGGGCGACCTAGCCAAGCCAGAGGACTTGATCGGCAAGAATGTTGTCACCAGCTTCACCAACCTGGCTGAGCAGTACTTCCGGAAACTCGAGGCCGAGCAAGCTGGAAACACAAACGGCGATGCCAATGGCGATGCGAAACTCAAGACAGTCATCAAGTACGTTGGCGGCAGTGTTGAAGCGGCATGCGCATTAGGTGTCGCGGACGGTATTGTCGATTTGGTGGAGTCAGGAGAGACGATGCGCGCTGCAGGCCTCAAGGCCATCTCCACAGTCGTTGATTCCAGCGCCATCCTCATCAAGTCGAAGCACCCATCAGATCCCAAACTGGTTGAGCTGATCACCGCTCGGATAAAGGGTGTCATCAGTAAGTCGCACCAGCTTCCGCATTCATCAGCAGAACTAATTTCTCGCAGCTGCACAGAAGTACGTTCTGTGCACATACAACATCGACCGATCGAAACTCGATATCGCGCGCAAGATCACTCCCGGACGTCGCGCTCCCACCGTCAACGCGTTGGAAGAGGATGGCTGGGTGGCTGTACAGGCTATGGTGCTGAGGAAGGATATTGCTATTGCCATGGACAAATTGACGGAGGTCGGGGCCACCGATCTCATCGTAACAAAGATCGAGAACTCGAGAACGGGTGATTGAGCGACGCATTGCGCATGGGTTATGGAGGCATAGACTGGTCTACATTTTCTGCGCAACATGCGCCTGCGATAGATGAGGACCATGTAGAAAGCTTCTAGTATACTCGCTGGACGGTCTGCTCTTTGAATTTGTAACCGACTACTATGTAATCACAAGCTCCCGTGTTTCTCGTGACCAACAAGCTCTGCATTGCGAAATTTTGCCATGAAGTTTGCCATTAAGTCCAGCATGTTTACCGCGCATTTGCGGATCCTGAACCTTTGTCACCAGACTGGGCAAGTTGTGGGTCGCGGTCTAAACGATGTAGTGGGTAGTTCGGCGCTAGGTTTCGCAGGACCTTATCCACAGGGTCGTATCTGTAGCTTTAGACCGTTAGTATCACAAGCACTGCTGAGCAGCTAACTGCTCGACATGCTACGCACCCGAAATATTGCGCAGTATATATTTGCTTACGTTTGCCAAACCTCCATCAAGCATTCTTGGTCCAACGGTAGGATAATTGCCTTCCAAGCAATTGGCCCGGGTTCGAGTACGTTCTATTCCTCTTCCACATCATCCAACATCATTCTAACAGCCTCTCCAGCTCCCGGAGGATGCACAACATCCTTCTCCACAATTGCGAGATGATCATTCTTTTTTTGCTTAGACGTCATCTTGACGCCGTGACGAGCGAGGATGCGAGGCATAGAAATTATTTTTTGCCTGCGCTTAGAGCAGGTATATAATGTTGCGTGTAGTGCAAGCTTTGAAGAAATGCTCTAGGTTTGCCGTGGTCGACTGAGGTAGTAATAGTTGTTGTGTAATTTGATGCCCACGCGTCTCACAATGGCTCCCCTCAGTACACATCAGCGGTATAGTTTTAAGCACATCATGTAGCAACCAAGACAGTAAAGACAGCAAAACAACACGCGCAAGATTTGCCGAGCATGAAATTCAGTTCATCATTTAACACTTCGTACATTAAGAGTATCTCGAAGATCAATGAAACATCACCATCGACATTAGATGGTAAAAAGCGATGAGTTCGATAAACCCCGTGTCAATCCCAGCGACGGTCCGGTCGGTCTAGCACTATCTCAACCCGAGGTGTTGGTCACAACTTGGACATTGGATAGTGGACATTTGATAGTGGGTAGTGAGTTGGTACCGAGGAGACTGTGCCAAAGACCAACCAGACCATCACCAAAACCGGCACGGGGAATAATGTAAACTTGTTACATTGCGATGAGCTACAAACAAACTCCTAATACCACTGTCCGACCAAGAGAGTGAATGCTGCCACCACTACAAGCACAAAACTGAACCAAAACACTACAATAACCCATCGCAAACTCCATTGCTATGCCACGCTCGCTTATTCAATAAAGGAGGGAAGTTGTCGTTCATCATCGTTCATCGTTGTTCGGTTAAGCCGCTTCGATCTACTCAATGCTGATCTTACGGGGCTGAGGAGCCTGGGCCTTGGGAACAAGGATGCTCAAGATACCGTTCTTGAGACTAGCCTTGACGGCTTCCTGGTTGACGCGAGCGGGGAAGGCGAAGGAGCGGTGGAATTCTCCGACTGAGCGCTCGCTGACCCAGTACTTGGCCTTGTTCTCGTCGTGCTTGGAGACGTCCTTGTTCTCGGACTGCTTGGCGACCTTGTTGGATTCGCTGGGGTCGTCCTCCACCTTGGGCTGGAGCTTCTTCTGCTGGGAAGCTTCACCGTTCTCGATGAAGCCCTGAGGGCGTTGACCTTCCTCGCGGACGTGCTCGTGGCGGCCCGAGATGGTCAGCGTGTTGTTGTCGGTCCATTCGATGTTGATGTCCTTTTGCTCGACACCAGGGAGTTCTCCGTGGAGCTCGTATCCCTCCTTGGTTTCCTTCACGTCGAACTTGGGAGTGAAGGACCGGACGTTGGTGAATTCGCGGTCGAGGTTGCGGAAGGCTTGCCTATCGTACTCGTCGAAGAGACGGAAGATAGGAGCGAATTCCTGAGTGAATCGTGGGAAGAGGGACATTGTTGCTGGTGCGTTGGAAAAGCGTCGAGTGGTTGTGATCGTAGGCTTGGTAATGCGGTTGAGTTGTCGAGGAACTCGTTGGATTGTAGAGCGGATTGATTGCATATAAGACTCGTTGTTTGTTGTTCTGATGATGAGCTTTGAGAGACGCCTCGAAGGCTATATATACCCGAGAGATGAGTTTCTGGAATGATCGCACTGCGGAGAGGCATTGGTGTTGCGTCGACGACGATGCTGCGAGAAGCCTCGGAGATGGCTCGGGGAGTTTCTAGAGCTTTCGAACACGACGTTTGTCGTCATGTTGTCGTACGCGATCAGACGAGATTGTGAGATGAGAAGCTTCCAGCTCTTGCCGGGTGAAACTATCAAGGCGATCTCCCGGTCGATCCTGCTTCGGTGAGGGGCGAGTTGGCACTAGAAAGTTCGGGGTGGTGGCTCAGACCATATCACGTGATGTCCGCGCTCGAAGTATCCAACGCCTTGGGAGCGACATGTGAGGCATCTGCTGCACAAGGCCCGTGTACCCCGCAATTCGGTCATGTATTGCGTGATGTTCATCTAACAGGTTGTATCACGGTGACGTTGGGTGCTCGCCCACTGGTGCGCCGCTTCGTTCTTCGTTCCTTGATCCTGTATTCCCCCGCTACCTGTGGATGTCTCGGATACCTGGCTCAGACCATGTCTCCAGCTGATTTCTTCCTCTTCGAAGCAGATATTCGATGGTACCGAAGTCCTTCTTGCCGACATCCCGGTGCTTATGGAACTCGGATCTGGAGCTACTCGTCAGCTGTCGCAGCAGGTCGTTCATTTAACTTGATCGCACCTTGCAAAGTCCCGGAAATGCGACTGCGTTTCCTATGATTGCGTGAGTAGGTGTTTGTAATCGTGGTGTTACAATTGACATACTGTTGGTTTCTGCTTCACAGCTCTTAAGCATTGTCGGTAGAGGGACAAGACGTCTTTTTGAAGTCCCGACAATCGTACCATCTCGGCCAGGTGAAGATGTCGTAAGCAACTGAAAAGACACAAGATGTATAGTCACGCACGTTGGCGACGTTGGGATGCAAGAACGAATGGCGGCGAACAAAGCCAGAGCCGAAGGGCCGTGCTTCTAAGACCGAAGAGGTTAGCTTGATTGATGACGATTTCGATGATGTTGGATCGCTTCCGCGCATCGTAGCATGCTCAAATGAGGACGACAATACATTCGAGATGTTTGCATGTCTAACGAAGTTCATGGGGGCACGCAGTATCACTGATCAAAAACTTCCACACGCGAAGATCGCAAATACACCATGAACACATCGCAGATTCCCTTGTTGATGTAGTATTGTAAGATCGAAACTGTGTGTGGGTGTGTCGCATGCTTCATTCACTTTCATCTAGGTGCCGTTCCGTATGGAGATACTCATGGCGCGCTGATGCTTTCAAGTGGACTCAGCTTGACCTTGATGTCATGCGGCCATACGAACCATTGTTTGTGTAGATCCCATTCCTTTTCTGGATCCTCAAGCTCGATCTTTGAGACATTAGCACTCACATCCACACCCAGAAGAAGTCAAAACGTACCTTATACCTTCCAAATACTGTCGCAAGCACCTTGTAGACCTCTACCAGTGCCAAAGGCTTGCCAAGGCAGATCCTGTTGCCTCCTCCGAACGACATGTCTGCGTCTTTCATCTTCTTGATCCTGGCCTCGTACGCGCCGGGTTCTTCGCGCTCACTTTGCAGCCATCGCTCCGGACGGAACTCATGGGGCTTCGCACCAAAAATGCTCTCCTTGTAATGAAGGACCCATGGGTTCACCCCGACAATTGTTCCTGGTGGCAATGTTGTTCCGTTGGACAATGTAAGACCAGTTGCAGGCACAACGCGCTCAAGAATGTGACCTACAACGGGATGCATACGGAGACCTTCTTTGATGCATGCATCTAGGTAAGGTAGCTGTTCGATCGTAGTATAGGACGTAGGGAAGGAGAGACGTGCAGAGAGGAGTTCGTCGACGAGGCGTTCTTTGGATGCTGATGACTTGAGGATGTGATAGAAGATGCCTTTTATCACAATGGCAAGGGTATCGGCACCACCGAGAATCTGCAGGAGCGGTGTTAGTTCTACCCACGCCACAGCGCAGCCACGAAACACTCACATTGATGATCATGTATCCAATAACCTCGTTGTCGGTGACAAGGTCCGGGAATTCCTTCTTTGCTTCGAGAAAGCCATTGAGAAAGTCTTTCTTTCCGTTTCCAAGTTCAGGTTTCTGCATACGCTCCATAAACCGCTCGACGGAGAAGCCGGCAGCAACGGAGAAGTCATCGAACTTATAGAGCGAGCGTGGCCACTTAGGGTTCTTTCCGAGCCATTTGTCGAGGACAGGCATTTGGCCGACCTAGCGAATGTCAGTAAGAAGTTTTGTAATCGAAACAGTTATGAGAGCTTTTGACTCAACGTAGAACATACCACGGAGAAATAGCGCATCACACGTTCAGCGGTTCCAAGCATATCGCCAACATCCGTACCCTGTTCCATGAAGCCAATACGCTTGCTCCAGGTCATATCACCCAAGAAGTCCCATGCGAAGAACGAGATCCAATCAGCAATATCGCATGTCTGGTCCTTGTTGGCGCCTTCCACAAAGCGGGCGTCGAGTTGACTGCAAAGGGTACGAAGGTTGTCGTCCATAATACTCTCGATCTGGAGAGCATTTTGAAGACTGTACAGCTTTTGAACTGGCTTAACATTCTTGGAGTGGAACTCATTGCTGCGCGTACTGAAGATGTTTTGAATGAGATGCCCATCTTGAAGCGCGTCGTTGATAGACCGAAGGAGGGTTAGCATGATCCACTTCTAAGGACGACTGCCTATATCTTACGTAGTAATCGCTCTATTGTAATGTCAGCAGTCGTTTCAATAGCAGTTGTGTTCCATGCGCTGACCTTCAAGTACGTCCCACGAGTGTTGTAAATAGTTTTGATCAGACTGGCATCAGCAACACTAACGGTATTGGGACCGAGACGAACGATATCGCCATGCTGTTCATGAAGTTTCCTCTGGGTCTCGATATGAGTTTGCCCATAGTGATTGAGGAAACGCCAGATATCCGAGAATTTGGCTAGAAAGGGACCGGGAATAGATTTGAGTGGGGATTGCAAGTAAGCCAGAACATATCGAGTGATGAGAAGGACTGCTCCGAGGCCGATTGCCTTCACGAATAACCCTGCCAATGCCATGTTATCACTTAAATCCGCACATACAATATGATTCTAAAAAGGAAAGAAGGACACAACCCCAGGAGTGGGAAGAGGATTGAATATGGTAATGCAGGTGACAAGGCCTTCCCGCTTCAGATTGTTGCGAATCACCTAGTAGCCGCATGTTCAGGTATCGGTCTAGCATATGTACGAAGACGGGGCCAGAATCGAGTCCCCTTCGCTTGGTCGCCCTGGTGTTGGTGAAGCCAAGTCCAACTTGCCCTGAGCGAGGCAAGGCGCCGCTTGCGTACAAGCATGGCGTGTATTGCTTTTTCCCACCACCTTTTTATCGCAATCCTAGGCTAAGCCATTGGTCGTACCAGCCATCGCGAATGTCGGGGAAGCGGTCCCTTGCACTAATGACGGAGTGACAGCGGGAGGTGTGGAGTTTTACGGTTCACGGGTACTAACACAGGCTAATCATGTGGGGACTGACCGGGCCCTGCAGAGCAGGTGTGAGGCAGGTGAGGTTCGCTCCATTTGCAGGTCCAACCGCATCAAGCTCCTATGTTGGATGCGACCTCGGGATGCATCTCTTGACAGTCCCCGGAGAACGGCGCAGATGAACACGCTTATCTGCGTTCCACAGTCCTGGAAAACTGCCTCGTAGGATCTGACTCCTTCGCTCCTTCACTCCTTTCCGCACGCCGCTGCTGGTTAGACCGAGGTTGATCCGTCGGATGTGCGATTGAAACGCCACTAAAGATCGCTTAGCCGAGTCTGGTGTGGCCTACAGCTGACCCTCACGATTAGTAGTGCGGGCAACGGCCCGTCACGGAAAGGCCAAACGTTCCTGTACAACTTCAGATCATCGAATTCTGCATGCAAGAACAAATTTTCGCAATGTCATTTCGAAGCCACTTGCGTAGCATGAACGATCCAAGGTTTCGCGAAGGACATGCCCCAGTTGACTAGTGCACAGCACCGCATTCCAGAGACGGGATGTTACGAGATTCAAACCGGATAGGCATCCACATTCGGGGACAGTGGATAACCGGTAGTCGCATACTCCGAGCTTTGGACACTCATTGGTCCTGATATATTTAGCTTCATCGCTGAACGGTGAAGGAACACCATCCTACTCCACCTGAGCGCTCAACCTGAGCCAATCTTCATCACGCGGACAACTGGCCCTCAGCGAATCAGACGAAGCGGACCCATGAACAACAGGTCCTGTTGGACCGCAGGTTGTGCTGCGTCAACCCGCAAGGAAAAGAAAAAGCATTTCATCTCTTCCTTCGTGCTATGCAAGCTGCAAGATACAAGACAATTTGGCACATGAGGCGCCAACGGGGTATCTTGCTCCGGTAGTTGCGAGAGATTTGTGATCAACACCTCTCCTGGGTATGCAAAATGAATCACTCTGGGAAGAAGTGAAGCAGAAGACGGGAACTAGTTTGGCGGCAAAGTAAAAACAGTCTACCAACGTCAAGCTACACAAGGATTCAACAGAGGACTGCTTTTTTTTCGAGGCCTCGCATGCATGAAACCTCACTCATAGCGCCTCTCTGCAGGGTAACGAGAGCGACAAGAACGGCAACAAAGCTTTGATACTATGCCTTGTTTGATTGCCTATGCAGGTCCCGAGAATTAGCGGGTTGTTTTGGCTTGGAAACCCGGCCCCCCTTCAGTTTCCCATAGCCACAACGGGGTTGCAATGATGCGCTCGGGCCGTGGACGTACATGCAAGTATGTTTGCTCTTCAGCATGGGTGTCTTCGAGGTCACAATTGAGGCTATAGATGCGTCAGTCTAACATTCCTTGCCACCACTCGAGTCGTTGATCTGAACATAAAACCTTTTGCGCAGAGTACAGGGCTGCCTTCACCTCATCCATAATTGTCTCTTCTTTGGACACAAGCCTACACGTTCATCAGCGACACACTGGAATAGCAAACGAAGAGGAGAGAGGTCCCTCCCAGGTTTCCAACCAGAACCAGTTATCAGCAATCAAGATGGGCAAGCCAGCTGATTTTGCGGACATACTCAATGGAGTGATGTGGGCTCAGGTCTTTCTTGGCACTGTGCTTGTCGCATTGCGAATGTACACAAGGCAGTATATTGTGAGAAATATCGGATGGGACGACGTATTGATGTTGGTCAATCTGGTAAGTTTACACCTATTCACAAACTTCAACTTGGTAGTTAGTCAAAGGCTCAATAAACTGACTTTCGAAGGCTACCTTCATCGGTTATGTTGGCTGCGTGTCTGTTGGTATCACCTATGGTGTTGGCAAACAGACGGCCGACATTGTACGACTCGACCTCAACTACTCCAAATCGATCATGTGGGAAGCCATCGGTCAAGGCATCTGCATCATGGGAATAGCTGCCTCCAAGGGTTCAGTAGCACTGTTTCTCCTGCGCATTGTTATTAAGAGATGGCACATTGCTATCCTCTGGTTTTGCATAGCGAGTACGACAGTGCTTTGCATCATCACAACAACGCTTCTGTACACTCAGTGTGTACCATCGGCGTTCTTATGGGATCAAACAATCGAAGGCGGCTATTGCTGGCTGAACTTCACTGAGGTCGGTCTAACGATGGGCGCTTGGTCTGCAGCTATGGACTTCGTTCTCGCTCTCCTTCGTACGTTACCCTGCTGCGTACCACTCCAAAGTAGACACTGACCGTTTCTAGCTTGGCACATTATCATGGGACTCAATATGAAACGCAAGGATAAGATTACGATCGCATCTGGTCTCTCTTTGGGCATTTTTGCCGGTGCGTGCTCTG